ACAGTAATTCGTTCTGAAATGATAGATATTAAAGTTGGCGGGAAAAAAAATGTAGTTTAAGTTTTCTTGTGTTCCTAACTTGCCCATTCAAAAAGAGCCACTTTCCTTGGTGTAAATCGAAATAAAACCAAATGCATGATTTTGAGTCAACATTGGTCACCATGAAATCCATTTGTCCTGCTCATTTTTCTTCCCTCTTTGCAGTTGCCAAATGTTGTGAAATAAAGATCCATTCTTGAAAAAATCGATAAGTGATAAGACACTTTTAAATTGGTTTCATGTCTTGCGGCTGGGAGGAAAATAGGTAAACGCATCACCATTTATTAAAGTAACCCGGGCGGAGAGGAGAAAAACATCGATAACAAGGCTCATTGAGTTGAGAATCTTCAGGGCCCAAGCGCAACTGAGCAAGGGTGTTTCTAGTCCAGTACCAAACCTATTCCCGACGCCCTTGAGCCGAGTTCAAAAGAAAGAGGAAAAAGAAAAGGCCTTCTAATGCTGGTCACAGGGATTGACCGTAGATAGAAAAAGGAATAGAAGAACTTTATGGAAAAGCGGTAACCGATTCCAGAATAGTAAAGGTCTAATTAATTCTTGATAACATTTGTAAAACGTACGATGCGTCGCGAATGTAAAACCGCAAGAGTGGAAACAATTGTCTTGGGACCAGTGTTCATTAAAATAGTCCAATAAACATTGTGCTAGCTAGAATAAATGATAAAAATAAAGGGTACTCACGGTGAAAGGAAAAGTCTCCTGGCCGGGTGTCACTTTTTCGGAAATAAAACTGCGTTGTAACCATTAGAGAAAAGGTGAAACTTCTCCTTAATCCCCTGATGCTTTAAGGCTCAGTTCTTCGCCCCTTATTATTTCTTATCTATGTCAATGATTTTAGTAACTGCTCTGAAATTCTAGATTTTCATCTATTTGCAGCTGATGCCAATCTATTTTATATACATAAAAATCTTTGAATCCTTGAATCCAAAGTACAAAGATCCTTGAATCCAAAGTACATAATGAACTAGTAAATATTCATACTTAGTTAAGTGCTAACAAACTTTCACTTAATTTTGGCAAGTAAAATTTTATCATCTTTCACCCTCCACAAAGAAAGTTACCCTT